TGAGCAAAAGCTGCACATATTTGAAGAAAATGAGCAGCAAGACAAGAAGGGCAAAGGAGTTTCATTGAAAGCCTTGAAATCTGCCAAAGAAAAAAAGGTGTGTCAAGAATCAAGCTCCGATGATTCCAAAACTGAGAACTTCAATCAGCTGGTGAAGAAGTTCAGAAAAGTATCTGCAAAACCAACACACACACAATACACACAACAACCTTTCTCCCCCTTTGGCATTATCAAAAACAAACCAAGCTATGTTTTTCAATATAAGCCATATGCACATTACTCAGAATCATACCAAAACAAGCATAACATAACATAGGCATTAGATTTAATCTTTGTGTGCAACACCATCTCAGCCAGAATTACTTGATCAATCAAGAATTACAAGATGCAAAATCCAACTCAGAATTTTACAACCCAAAACAGAATATTATGTTCAACAATCAACCATGGCTCAATTTGCTCACAAGATATCAGTTTTAACAAAAACAGAACATTAACAAACATGCTCAAAAACAGAGCATTATACCATCAGCCAAGCAAAACAGAATTTGATATCACAATCAACCCATCATATCAGCAATATAGACTTCAAATTTCACCAGAAATTAATTGTTCAACACCATAAAGCAGATAAATTGTTCCAAAATTAGGCACCTGAAAAAGCAAGCCAGACATCAAGAGCAAGTATAGGATCACAACCACAACCACTGCCCCACAGTTCATGGTATTTTGAGTTTTAACTGTTGAGAAGATTTATTTAAAATAAATGATATACCATATGCATGATAGTAAAGTCAATTTCTATCTACAATCAACCATAACTTGTACCTACAATTAATCATGCCTTGCATAAAAGTCCATGTACTAAAAAATAAATGATATAGCGTATGCATGATATACCATGAACTAGAGTCAACTTGTATCTACAATCCACCATAACTTGTACCTATAACCATCAATAACAAATAGATAAAAATGATAAAATAGATAAAAATGATAGTACTGGAAGGATAATTAATAAATCACTATTTGACAGTGAAGTTATCTCTTAGAATATACAACAAAGAATTTAATTTGCAGATGAGATAAAAATCAGTGATTGAGAACTTACATAAGCAAATTCTGCATGAGGACCCACCCAACTATGATCCTTTTTCTGATGTGTCCGAAAATAAAATTCACTCAATGATGGATCCTTTCCTAACTTTGCCTCCTTCTGTAATTGACAAAAAAAAGCTTTTATTATTATTTTGGAATATAAATTATTTTAAAAAATATCAATAAATTAATAATACCATTCTCTTCCAATGCACTCTATGAGGAATTGATCCACCGGTGTGAAGAGATGCACCATCTATAGATTCACGATTTCTTTTATTTATTTCAGACCTGTTCTTGAAACTTAAGGACTCCCAATGTGCCTTTAATTGTGCCCACACATTATCTCCCATCCAATTAATAAATCTACGAGAAAGACATTAGATACACATAATACCGTGTTACACCACCCAGGTAAAAGGAAGAAAAAAAAATCTGAAGTCCATAATGAGATTATACAAATCAGTCATGCATATTTTCCATCTTGATGACTTAAGAAAGTAGTTCTATACAGGTTGTTAAAAATTGTTTACTATGAAGTAAGAATCCAAATTATATATCATCTATTTTATCAAAATGAACTCCTAACATTTTGTGACTTTCATCCATAAGAACAAAAATTAAACCATGAAAATCTCTCTTTTAAGCATTGTGATAGATACCCTATTATAACAAGAGTCTATGTGAGGAGAAAGGAAAGTGATTAAGGACCCACATGAGCAACACAGGTGAGGTACAATGGATATGCATAAGGGGATTCTCTTTTTACTATCTAGGCACATTTATGTTTCTTTCTTATTCAATTTTTTTGATCTCTGGATTATGTCTCTATTTTCCTGCAAGGGGCCGTATTGACTCCAGGGCCCGTATTGCGCCTGTTCCCTATAAATAAGACGTCATTTGCAATATAGACTTCAAATTTCACCAGAAATTAATTGTTCAACACCATAAAGCAGATAAATTGTTCCAAAATTAGACTATTACAACCAAATCGAACCTAAAAAGAAATCCAAAAATAGAATTTAAAAGCCAAAATATTTTTGGGCTGATGCTATTAACACAGCTTGTCCTGTCTTAAACAAAGTTCTAATCCGGCCTATATTAAAGAAAACACCCTATGAAATTTACAATGGAAGGAAGCCTAATATTTCATATTTTAGAGTGTTTGGGTGTAAGTGCTGTGTGCTGAACAATGGGAAAGAGCAACTTGGAAAATTTGATGCAAAGGCTGACGAAGCAATCTTTCTAGGATACTCAACAAATAGCAAAGCAATCTATCCATGTGGTATTTGATGAGACCAATAAACAAGAGACAAGGCAAACTGAAATTGAAGATTTAACTGAGTTGCATGATCAACCTCTACTGGAGAATGAACAAAATGAAGAGCCTAAGGATAACATAATTGCTTGCACACAGAGCATTATCCTTAGAGAGAAAACGCTCCCACTGCACCAATAATTTAGAGTCTTATAATTCGCTCCTCTCCCAAGATACGTCAACCCGTTAGACCGTTTGAGTGCAGCGAAAGATTCCCGAACTAAAGAACATCGCTCCAAAATATATTTAGTAATAGAAATAATTTTGAGAAAGAGATAAGTGAACTTGTGTGTGTAGATAGATATGTGTTTCCTCACGTACCAATGTACATAAATATAGGCACAATATTAGACAGTTATAAGCATGACAAAGCACGTGCACCATGATTCCTCATTTTTTTGGTAACAACAAGAACCAACGGATAAGATAAAAGGTATCGTTGATATTAACCAATTTGTAAAAGGCAAAACTTGGTCACGTCCAGCAATTCTATAATAATTTTGCAATTTGAACGTTAAAAAATTACAAAAATCAAGATTAATCAAATAACGTAATTAATTTAAATTTTAAATTATAATATAATTTTTGAACGGTTTCACTTTTTTATCTTTCTCATTTTACTCTTAATAATTATACATAACCTTTGTTATTAATGCAGCAATATTGTCTTTTTTCTCACTAGTATATAAAGTATATCTAATGTGTTTGATAAATTCTAATATTATGAAATATTTATTTGGTTAAAATATAATTTTTTTTAGCCATGAAATATTGAGTTGATATAATTGACCAAGAATTGCATATCATAAAACTCATCAAAATCATAAATTAAAAAAAAATATAAATGTTAAGTCAAAGAAGAATATACATAAATATTGTACTAGTAAGACCATTCGGCCATCAAGTGACCGATACCCAATCGGCACCCAAACGGCCGAACCAGGTAACCGACAGCCGGTCGGCTACCAGATAATCCATAAGTCCAGATCCCCCTAATTAACAGTTAGAGATTACCCCTAATTAACAGTTAAGGACTAATTACACCAGTAAACCGATTAGAGACGTATTACCTAATATGCTAATCCTGTTGCAGGGCCCATGGGAGTCCGGGCCCATCAATGTCAGTATAAATAGCTCATATCACAAGGTAACGTCAATGTTCATTAATTACTATCGATATTTGTGCTTTGTCCTGACTTGAGCGTCGGAGTGCCTTTTGCAGGTACCTCCCCCTCACCAGAATATTCGATCGGAGCTCTCGTTCGGCCCTCAGAATACGAGAAGATTACTAGTGTGCCCTTCAGACAGGTACATTTTGGCGCCCACCGTGGGGCCGAACCGAGACAGTTGTAAAGATTAACGAAGCAAAGCAATGACGAAGACAAGGAGAATGAACGCAGAAGATCACCAGACTGAAGAGGAAGAACATGTTGAAGTTGTAGACGAAACTGATCTCTCTGAGGCCGTTCGTCTACTCAAGCAGGAGCTGGCCACGATGAAACAACAACGGCAGAAAGATGCGTTGTTGTTTGTTGTTGCCCTTGACACACATTTTGTGATCATCAAAACTTCTTTAAGCTTCAAACTCCTCTAAGCTCAACAATCTCCCCCTTTTTGATGATGACAACCAATCTAGGCTCCAACCATTTTTGCTTCTAATTTCAACATACCAAACCTGCAAAAACATACACACACACAAGCACAATACCTGCAAAACCAACACACACACAATACACACAACAACCTTTCTCCCCCTTTGGCATTGGTTAAATGTGGAATTTACAAGAAAATGAAACATGGGTTTTTCCTAAACAAAATAACAATAATGAAATCCTAAACTAAGCCTAGTTATGCCCCAATGTCACATATCCTATCACAACACACCCAATTGATGCTTAAGTCTCATCACCAACATCCTAATGTTGATGATCACCTGTAACACAATTTAAACACATGCAAAGAGCAACAGAGGAGTGAGAAACATCTCACTCAGGTTTAGGTGCAAAAATAAATGTTAGAAAGCACACACACAACAAACATAATACAAGTCACAAACACAAATCACATATAAACAATACACATACATAATCAGTATTACATGTACATTCATTTATCATGCAATGATGCCATGGACTCGACTTATAAATGCATGCATGAGTGCATAAATAATCGATTATCTGGGCGACGTTTAAGATTTCTAAAGCATTTGAACGGTTAAATACGCGCCAAACCCTTAACACCTCTTATAACTCTCCCGCTCAGAAGTTGTTAGGGAAAAACTTCTTAAAACCTCTTCTTCTCTCATTTTCTCTCATTTTCTCACAAACCCAAAAACCCTAACTCTCTCAACTCTCTCATTCTCTTCTTCTTCTTCAATACCCACTCATGGCATCTTCATTAAAGAGACCTAAAAAGCTTGAAGTGAGGGGGAACAAACGCCCTCTACCCTCTGGGCAACTAATTTCAAAGTGGTTTCTGGATGAGAAGACTCAAGAATACTACTTTGAGTGGTACGCTGGGCGGAGAATCATTCCTCCGAAGATTCTTAAGCTTGAATGGTTTAAGAATGAGGGTTTCAGTTTTCCAACCCTTCTAGAGCACCAAGAACTGGGAAAGATTTTGGAAATGGAGGGTCCCTATTATCTTGAGTTGATCAGGTTATTTTTCTGTTTTGCCACAAGCAATGAGGGCATCATGCAATCTGTGGTGAAAGGAAAGATGATCAAGTTGGACGGGCCAACATTGAAGGCTGCTGCGAGGCTGAGTGGTTCTAGGTGAGAGAAACCCCAACCCTTCAATTTTGGGGATTTTGAAGAATTGACTACCTTCCGGGACTGTCAAAGGAACCCGGTGAATACCAACTATGAAAAGTTTCTGGAGGGAGGTATGAAAAAGAATTCCCGCTTAATTGCTTTTATCATTGCTTGGATGTTGAAACCTCGTTTACATAATCATGCCCAAATGTCAAGAGATGACATTTTACTTATCCATGTGATTAAAAAGAAAATCAAGATTGATTGGGTATCAGTCGTTAAGGATTGTATGTGGATGGCAAGGCGGAAGGAAGATGTTTCGGCTTCGCTTCTAGCTCTCTGCCAGGTTCAGCTTCCACCTGTGGTGGCTGATCCTCGTCGTGTGACAGAACACCATCCTCATCGGTTGCCAGTTCAGGATTCGGGGGTACATCTCCTTTAAACACCCATTTATCTTCCTATTTAAGCATTCCCATATGATGCAAGGAAGATTTTTCTATCTTGTTCGAAGCATGTAAAACAATTTTTCTTTCCCCTGTTAAATCCACACCTGCATTTTAAAAAATCTTTGACAATAACAGAACATACGGAATTGGTCCATCTTTCTTTTGCCTTGCCTTCCACATACAATCGTTAACGAATGATACCCAATCAATCTTGATTTTCTTTTTAATCACATGCATAAGTAAAATGTCATCTCTTGACATTTGGGCATGGTTATATAAGCGAGGTTTCAACATCCAAGCAATGATAAAAGAGATTAAGCGGGAATTCTTTTTCATACCTCCCGCCAGAAACTTTTCATAGTTGGTATTCATTGGGTTCCTTTGATAGTCCCGGAAGGTAGTTGTCGCCACCGGCCCGAAACGGGCTTTCGGCATTCGTGAAGGATGGTTGGACTCTTTTATTTTTTTAAAAATATGGATTGCTAGAATGACTTATTCTCAAACTGAGACCTTGTCAAACGAGCAATTTTATTAAAAGGCTCACCAATCCATGTTAATCCCAAGCGGGACCCTCCATGGATTAGCGGTTTTCATAAAAAGGAAGGGTTCATGGAGTCGCCACCAATGTTTTACTCAAAACATTGGAAAAAGAAGTTTAAGGCAATCGATTCAAAAATCGACTTCGGCCATGACAACCAGAGTCGGGTAAGGGAGTCGGTTACGCGTGGGGAAGGTGTTAGCACCCCACAGCGCCCCTTTCGGGTTCCCTATGACAGATTATTTCTAAAAATAATAGTGCGAAATTACTAAATTACCCCTATTTATTCTAAACAATTATAACTTAACTATCTACATGATGACAGTTAAATATACACACAGAAAGCAGTAAAAGGAAGGTCTTAAGAAGAAACCTTTGAAGCGTGCTTTTATATTCAAGTAAAACTGGGAAGCTTTTTGGCGTTCCCTCGCTCTACAAGCTAAATATATTTAAACAAAGAATTTAATTGTTTCGGTAATAAAAAATTCATACGTAAAAATTAAATTCAATATATAATTTAAATAAAATTAGGTATAT